AAAAATTGAAAATTAAATTATTAAAATTAAGAATTCAGCGGAGTAATTAGCTTTTTGCTGACTGTCGTTCTTGAAATATAAACAAAAAAATAATTTGACTTGTTATGAGTTTTCTAAAAATGTAATATTTTCATAAACAAATGGCGTTAAAAATAAAGTATTTAAATATCTAACATAGGCGGCTGGTTTAAATTAGGTAATCAAAACAACCGAATAATTTATTCGACGTGAAGTTTTGGTTATTAGCTATTCCACTCTAGTGTCTGTGTATCAAATTATTGCACAAATGTATCAGAAATATCAATACATCTGATTGGCAGTTTGTTGCCTAAAAGCTGCACGAGTTTATTGCAGCTTATTAAGCTAACAAGATGGAAAGCAAAATTATCTCGTTAAATTAAATTAAATAACAGAATACTTTTATAAACTAGGTTTATTTACGTTAAAAAGTTAAACAACGCATTTTTTGCGTTATTTATGAAACTCAGATGCAAGAAAATGTAATGGAAAAATGTTTGGTCAAATTTACAATGTTATATATTTTTTATTTTTAGCCCTTTTTCCTTGATTTTCTACCAAACTGTATATGAATATATTAACTCTAATTTTTAGACTCAGTTTCTTATATACTTTAGTATTTGACTTGTTATACAGGGTTAATCGCAAAGTTGTTTTTACCCTATCTTTAAAACACCCTGTGCAATCATTTTGTGAGAAAATTTTCCTAAAACATTATTTTTTGATATTTTGTTTTTCAATTCATGTCAACATATGCATTGATTAATTTTTAAGTACAAAATGAACTTGCCACTAACATTTTGCAATTTTTTCAATTATCGTTACTTTTCGATGTTATTCTTCATAATGACGAGGTGATTATTGTTGTGTACAATGAATATAGTGTCGAAGCTTGTGCAAAAGTCCTTGATATTGTTGAAAATGGTCGAAATTATGAATATTCGTTTGATCCTTAAAGAAGAATGGGAAAACATAACACAATATATTTGCAGCCTCATTAACAATATGAACCGACATCTACAAACAGTTATAGCAGCTGGGGGAGGCAATACAAAGTATTAGAGTATTTTTAGCATGTTTTTGTTTGTTTTTACACTTATTTATATCAGTTATACTTCCTTAGTTCTGTTAGTGTTACTAATATTTAATAAACCAAGCCTGTAGTGAGTTGTAGTAAGCCATAATTTGAGTTGAAAAAATTGCAGATTGTTGGTGGAAAGTTCATTTTGCCCTTAAAAATTAACCAAGGCAAAAAACATAATGCTCAGGAGACATGATTCTGATCGAAAAATAATGTTTTAGGAAAAGATACTCAAGATGCACAGGGTGTTTTAAAGTTAAGGTGAAAAACAACAGTTCAATTAACCCTGTATAATAAGCCAAATACTAAAGTTAAAAAAAACTGAGTTTATGAACTAGAGTTGATAGATTTATATACAGTTTGTTAAAAAATTCATGAAAATAGGGCTAAAAGTTAAATAGGGCTAAAACACTTTAACGATAAAATGTTCCGTTGCTTTTTTTTGCATCTCAGCGTATACATATATATATATATTTGGAAAGTTCATACCAAGACAAATAAAATTTAAAAATAATATACAAAGTGTCCAATTAAAAAAAAACACAAGTTTGAGCCATATTTGCACAAGAGAAAGCTCCCAGAGAAAAACTACTTACATCACTAGATTCTACGTGAAAAACTCTACGGGAAACAGTTTTTACTTTTTCGATATGTTATAATATAACCAAGATACACACAATGATTTAAAACTCGCCCTCTATATTTTAGGAACTAAAAAAGCTAGAATAAATCTGTGTGTAGCATATTTAGATTCATAATAAAGGAGTACAATAATGTGAGAAGCGCATCTTTATACCTCTTGTTTTAAACGAGAAACACCATAAGACACATAAAAATGGTACACCCTGTACACTATAATTATACATAATTCATGTTGGTCATAGTATAAAAATTACAACATGCATGTTAAGAATTATAATCTTACCATAGATTATTATTAGAGCTATTAAAACCAAAAATATTTTGTGTTTCTATTTACTCTATTTTTCTATAATGTGGTGATGTTAAAAACTAATCTGCTTAAATCTTTACTAAAGCCATGGGAAAATTGATAGCAAAAAGTAATAATAATAAAAATTTATTTCCACTAGAGATTTTTTTTACAAAATACAAAAAAAATAAAAATACAGGGTGGCGCCTCTCATACGCCGCGGAGGCTTCAAGGAGAACGACAGTTTGTATTGAAATGAAATTTTGTGAGCATAATAAATATGTAGGTTAATTCAAAGAACTTTTTAAAAATACAGATAGTTCTACAGGGTGTTTGTTCCCAAAAAAATTACATTTTAAAGTTGTGTTTTTTGCAACCCTATATATTAATTGATTTTCGGATTCTGGGAGAAAAATAAAGGTGAGTTTTATAAGAGGTATGTATGACTAAAATGTAAGGTTTTTGACATATTTAACATATTCTAGAAATACAGAACTATTTTTAAAATACAATAAAAGCTACCTAAATTGGAATTTACCCGGTATAGCCTAATATGTAGTTAAATTAACTATTGTACTTTAAATTACCTTACCCCTCAAACAAAGATTTTCCTAGATATTTTCATTTACATGATTTAATCTGGGTAGATCTTTATTATTTGATAAAATATCTAGGGTGGCTGTGATATGTCTGACGTTATTTCAACATAGCTGTCTAATTAGTTTATCATTCTGTGTCAGTTAAAACAAAAAAAAAATTCTCAGAAATTTACCGAAAATGCAAACTTACCCTACATCAGAGAGAATTGATATAATTCTATAAGTTGGTGAATGCAGTGTGCATTCACCAATTAATAGAATACTTAAATTCTCCTGATTTTATCTAGTCTGGTTTTTTATGGGGATGTGTTAAAGGACAGTGTTTAAAAAACTCAACCAACTATTGTCGACAACATGAGAGAAATTATTGTAGCTGCTTTTCGAGGTAGAACTCTACATATGCCTTTTAAAATGAAAAGATCCTTATGAAAAACAATCATTTTATGCAGTTAACAGGGAAGGAAGCATTTTGAGCAATTGATTTCATCTAGCTAATTTTTGTCACATAATTATAGGTTTATATCTAGTTTTAATTGTATAATAATTAAAATATTTAAAATGTGTATCTTTTTATTACCGTTGAGTATTTTAATCTACAATCTTTAATTTTTGTAATTAACAAAAGGTATTTTTTCTAATAATAAAGATCTACTGACGTAAAATCATAAAAATTAAAATATCTAGGAATAAGAGGTAGGCAACCTTAATTTGTCCGAGGGGTAGGCAACCTTAATAATATTTTGAAGATATATAAATTCCCCATCGAATACCGGAATAATATACTGGGTGTTCCATTTAAAATAAAGAAGTAACTTGCTTTTAAAAGTGACTAATGGTCCATATTAATTTTCTCTCACCCTGTATAACTTTTCGGGTCAAATTTCAATTTGGTTTAGCATACAATGGTGTGTAACATACAACTATATTTAAATATCAGGATATACAAGATCAGCTAAAATTTAGGTAGCGGTTATCGACATTTAAAATTTACTCTACATTTTCACAAAATGTGAAATATGTCAAAATCCTTAGATTTTAGGTATATGCTTCTTCAATAAAACGTACCTTTATTTTTTTGCTTCTTTAATAAAACTCACCTTTATTTTTTTTCTAGAATCCGAAAATCAATTAATATATAGGGTGTATATATTAATTGATTTAAGAAAATTTAGAATTTAGAAAAAACACAACTCTGATATGTAACTTTTTTTGGGGACACCCTGTATAATTCTACACAGTTTTATAAAATGCTTTCAGTTAACCTACATATGCTGCCAAAATTTCATTTCGATATAAACTACCGTTCTCCTTGGAGCTTCCGCGACGTATAAGAGGCGCCACCCTGTATAGTGTAAAAAACAATCCATATGCCTCAACATCAATGTAGTAGTGTAGATAGTATTAAAAGACTTTGAAATAATAAGTGCAAATATTTTTAGAGGTAGTATACTTCGACCCTAGAAACACGTCTATGAGGTTTTTTACGCAAATTTTTTTACGGATTTTGTTTTTTATTTTTAATTAAAAACATAATATCTTCAGACAATGACACCGTAAGTAGTAGTTGTAAATGTACAAGCAAGAAAACCCCAAAAAAATCCAGTGGTTCTCAAAATTTAAGCACAAAATATCTCGGTTATTTTGGACCTATTTGAAAAACGGTAAAGAGAAAATGTTTCTTTTATCGAAATCTACCAGTTCTGAAAATATTGGCACTTATGTAAGACTCACCCTGTATCTATTTAAAAAACACTATTCTATAAACATTTTACTTATATAACTTACTGTATATAAATGCAAATAGAGAAATATTTTAAAAACAAAAATGTATTTAAAATATTCTCGTGCTGACTCGTATAACAAAATTCTGTTTTGTGTCCTGAATACATAAATGTCCGTTATACAACTTTAAAACTCTTTGAGACGAAGGGATGTAACAAAGTAATTTAAATAAACTTTATTGTGGAAGGACAATAATTGTGGCATAGAGAAATAAATAGAATTAAAATTAAACAAAATTGGACTCAATATTTTCTTGTGTATTGTTTTATTATACTTTTAAATGTTGTTTTAAGAATTTCTGGATTATTTTACAAATAAAAAAAACAAAGAAAATTACTATCATAACATATTATATTATGCATACTATTTACGTTATTAAATTATTATTAGCAGATTAGTTTCTATTTTCTATGCAAAAGTTCCAATCAATACTTGATTATATACTCAAAATGCAAAAAGGTCAATTTCAGATCAGAGGTTACTTACTTAACATGCAAACACGACGTAGATAGTGCGAAGTAGAAGAAGATATGAAAAAGAATTAACATGAGGAGACAGATAACATAGATTTATTTATCAGTTGCCTTACCACCCGACATTTGAGGTTCTCCCAGTTGGACGTAGAATAATACATCTTTCTCGTAGCTGTCCTCTTCTATTATGGTCAGTGAAATCACTTTCCTGAAAAATAATAAAAATTGCTTTAGTATTTACATTAAATATATTATCAATCATTTTTTTATGTTCATACTAGTTAACATACTTAACATACATACATAAAAAAACTTTTTGTCAGGTTTTGTCACTGAAACAAAAAACTAAAAAATTGTCTTTTTTAGATATACAGGGAGTATATAGGGGAGTCTCAAATAAGTGGAAATATTATTAGGGGTAGTATATTTCGACACCAGAAACACGTCTATGTTTTTGTCGTGAAAAAAAATTTAAAATTTGGAATTTTATGAAAAAAATTTTGGAAATATTTTTAGTTTTCAAATAAAAATCGTAATTTCTTGTTAATATGGCAACATAGGTAGTAGATTAAATTTCCAGTGGTTCTCAAAATTTAAACAAAAAAATAAATTTTCAAAATAAAATATCTCATTTATTTTGGACTTCCTTGAAAAATAGTAAAGAGAAAATAAGTTTCTTGTATCGAGATCTACCAGCACTGAAAATATTTGCACTTATTTAAGACTCACCCTGTATAATCATAAGATATGTCGGATTGTCTTTATAAGAGGGAAATCTGTTATATTATTGTCGTTTTGAGAAAAATGCCTACTTCACACAAATGTTTGCTTGTTCTAAAATGATTAATCCCATTTATAATAATAATAATAATAGCTCCTGTATATAGCGTTTGACGCCTTAGGAGTAGCAAGGTACAGCTTGCCATGCTAGAGCCGTTCGGTATACAAGGAAGGTAATATGGCTAGCACTACGCTTCAACCGCCTATTATTACCTCAGGATTGTGAATCCTAACTCGTTTAAGGCTGAGTCGACCTAGGTACCCAAACTATTTTTATTTAAATAAAAATAGTCGGCTGATGAAATGCCGAGTGTAGGATTCGAACCCACTACCTTGAGATTGGTAGACGAAAGCCTGTACCTCTACGCCACCAGGTACATTAATCCTATTTATACTTTTTCAAATTTGCATACTGTTTTAGAGAAAATTAAAAAATACATGAAAATATAGTTGAATGTTTTTTCCTAAAAATCAAAACGCGTTTCTGTGGTAATATAATTTCGTTTTCATTGATTAACATTTCATTTGATAGAGTGTAATTGATAGAATTTTAATTAAAGTCATAATTTTTGCTGTTTTAAAATGTTAAAAAAGCACAACATTTATTTAGTTCAATGCTACGGAATGGGTGATAATAGTTATAGGAAAAACTTTAACAACAACAAAAAATATGACGTTAATCAAAATTAATAGAACTCGTGTCGAGGAGAAAAATTGCCTAAGCGTTCACATGCTGGTCAAGGAGCATCAACTATGCTTTTTAGCACCTCATTTTGAATAGTTTGTATCACATTCAGATGGTTTTTAGAAGTACTATAAAGATGTCGTACCATATATCTATATACAGATAGTAGCTCTAAAAGCCTAAAAGGCTCATGGCTGATTGATTATCTTTCTCCACTTATTTCTGTCTTTCGTCTTTATTCTCCACCTTCGATATTCACTCTTATACTTAGTACTCAAGTCCTCTTCAACATCTTTTTTTCGTGTGGTTCTCGGTCTACTCCTCCTTCTCTTTCCGCCTATTTCACGTCTCATTATGATTCTAGGAACTCTTGATTAAGCCATTCTCTCAATGCCATCTCAATATTTGCGCTCTTCCTACTTCTGTTATACTTGGTGCCCGATATAATTACTTTAATTTTTCATATGTTCTGCTGGTCTATATGTTGGCTCGTCTTTCGTCCAAAAATCTTCCTCAGTATATTTCTTTCCCAAATCTGTAGCGTCAAATTTTCCGTTGCATTAAACGTCCACGTTTTACATGCATACAGCACTATTGGTCGTATGACTGTTTCGTACATTCTGATTTTTAAGCTTCTAGGAGTTGTTCTCTTAAAAAAATTTTGTAGTGCGCTAACACATCTATTTCCTGCCATTATTCTTGCCACAATTTCCTGAGTTATATTTGGTTTCCTCATAAATACGGTTCCTAGATATGTGAATTTATCTACTTCCTCAAACTTGTATCGTTTCCCTCTCTCAGAATCTATTTGTAGACATCTTCCCTTCTCAAAATCCCTATCTGACCACTCCATAAACTTAGTTTTCTTTTCATTAAACACAAAGCCTACATTTTGCGCTTGATCTTCTAGTATTTTGGTTACCGATATCCTCTCTTTCCGATCTATTGCTAAGATAACTAAGTTATCTGCAGAAAGGAATAAAATGTTTACTGGGTACACTAAACAGTTCAGGAGATATTGGGTCCCCCTGTCTTAATCCGTCGCTGATTATAAATATTTCCGTTATGTTCTTGTTTACTTTGACTTTATTTATTGTCTCTTGGAGAGGCAGTTTTATCACGCGTCAGTTTTATCATCTTGGTCAGTATCTTGCTAACCCCTAATTCGGCTAAAGCTCTAAATACCTCGGTCCTTTTAACTTTGTCACATATCTGCTGGAAGTCGATAATATGTCTATACTGACTTTAATATATCTGTTTGTATAAAAATAACATCGCTATTGTATCGATTGTATTATTTAAATAACTTACTTAAAGATAAAATAAATGCAAGCTCTTATGATACAACAGTAGAAAAATATTTTATTGTAAGAATGCAATATCTTTAGAGATCACGAAAATAAGTCTTATTCTCAGCGAGACGAGCTGATTTCGGCGGTGCATCAAAGGAATATTGCCAGACGGTTTTATTTGGCCAAGAAATATAACAAAGTGGCCAAAGCCGAAAGCCAAGAGTTTGGGATGGACGATAAGCCATCAAATGATTTATAAGTAAAAGGAAAGTTCGACGTGGAGGCCGGAAGGAAATATTAGAGAACCGGAAACGTAGGAAATTAAAGTAGAAATTCTGGAAAATGTAATATTTAAATTCAGAATTCGTATCCTGTGGAATGACTTTTAACATTCTCATATTTTATAATACATATTGATTTAAATGTATATTAGTGTATTTCTCTATATGATTTGTTTGTAGCGTTTAGTTATTTTTATTTAGATTGTATATAAAATATTTTCTTACAATCATGTGTTATAATTATATGCGTTAATAACGTACAAACAAGAGACAAATTTCTATATTCGTCGCGATCGTCGCGTTAGCCAAAATATTACATACAGGGTCCGGCAATAATAGTGCTTCGGGCATCTGTAGCTACTAGAATAAAAAACTTGAGAATTTTGTTTAAGTGCAAACCTAAAGTACATACGAGGATGTATTTCAAGAAAATATTTTAACTTCTATAGGATGGCTCATAAAAGTGTGAATGGACAGGGATAATTTTTTAAATGGAACACCCTGTATATTATTGCATTTTTGGCTTAATTTCAGATCACTTTACATTATCCTAAGATGTGAGTAAATAGATTCCGATAATCGATGTCGGAGATATTAATAAATAAATAAAAATATATATTTTTCAACCTTAAACCTTTTTCAACTAAATACGAGAACTGCCCTGAAATTAAAACTATAACAGATATTTACTTTACTATAAATATCCTAATCTTAAATCATACAGGTTGTTCAAAATTCTACGTCAAACTTACTAAAATATAAAATAATTTTTCCTTATTTTTTTAAATGAAACACCCTGTATATTATTTATTTATTAAATGGAGAGTTAAAAAATCAACATTTCTTTGTATTTGAAATAATTCAAATTTTTTAATGGTTTCGCAAATACGCACAGTATTATTTATTATGGCTCTTTCAACGGTAAAATACGAAAGAAAAATCATCGGGAGACTTTGCTGGAAAAATTTGTTGTGAAAAATTCCATAAAAAACATAAAACCGCGAATATCTGAGAACTGTTAAAAACTTTAATAATACTCTAAATACAAAAAATGTTCATTGAAATCATACCATCTATTGAAAAAATAATCTACAGGGTGTTCCGCTTAAAAAAAATAAAGAAAAATTATTTTATATTTTAAAAGGTTTGGCGTAGAATTTTGAACATCCTGTATGATTTACGATTACCATATTTATAGTAAAATAAGTACAGATCATCTAAAGTAAATACCTAATATAGGTTTCATTTCAAGACATTTCTTGAATTTTTAATGTTTTTTTAAGAACGGATGAAGGAAGGAAGAAAGGCTGCAGGCAAAAGAAAAAATATATATTTTTTATTTATTTATTAATATCTCTAAAACTATTAAAACATATTTATAGTGGAGTGCCCAGAAACTTTTACCTCGGAATTCGATTACTATGAATGTGTTAATGTGAAACCTTCTGTATTGTGTTTTATAGATAAAATACTAAAATGTTTACCCATTTTTTTTCGTTACTTTTAATTTTTTACTTTAGTAATTTTAGTAAATTCTTAATTATTTCCTTCTTAATATTTTGATTTTTTTAATTCTTTTCCTAAGTAAATTTATTGAAATAAATAGATCTATTACATAAGCTATACCTATTCTGCTTATATTCTAATCATTGAAATTTTGATTGAAATCGAATTATACAGGGTGGCGCGTCATATACGACGCGGTTTTTGCAAGGAGAACAAAAGTTTGTATTGAAGTGAAATTTTCTGAGCTTATGTAAGTCAATTTAAAGTATTTTCTAAAATAATGTAGAGTTCTACAGGGTGTCCCCAAAAAAAAAGTTACACATCAAAGTTATGTTTTTTGTAATAGAACACCCTATATATTAATTGATTTTTGGATTCTAGTAAAAAAATAAAGGTTTGTTTCATTAGCAAAGTATATGACTAAAATGTATAGTTTTTGAAATACATTCACCGGCACGAAAAATGGGCACCTTAAAACTTTGATGTATTTTAGAAGTTAATATATTTTATTTTAATTGACCTATTTTGATGATTTTTTAAGCAGTGTGTTGCCAAATTATTTGACTTCTTAGTATCTTTTTCTAAATTAAAAATGAAACTCCCCATCTGTTAATTATACGAGGGAAAACAAAATGTTGATATTTTTTGTGAAAGTTTGAAACAC